CATTTGTTTCAAGAGTGTTCATAATTACTTGTTGAGGCAATTTTAAAATAGCTACCTTAAAATCCTTGTTAGATAATTTCAACTACTGAGTCATCTCAGTGTTAACATCTGTCTTAGTCTTCTCAGGCTGCTATACAAAATACCATAGACTGGTGGCTTAAACAACAGACATTTATTTCTCACAAATCTGGAGGTTAGGAAGTCTAAGATCAAGGTGTGGGCTAATGTGGTTTCTGGTGAGGGTTCATTTCCTGAATTGCAAATGATCACCTTTGAGCTGTGTCTTCACATGATGGAGAGAGAGTGGTGGTCTCTCCTCTTCTTCTAAGGATACTAACTCCATCATGAGGCCCCACCCTCATGACCTCACCTAAACCTAGTTACTTCCCAAAGGCTTTAACGCCAAATAACATCACATTGGGGGTTAGGGCTTCAACATATGAATTTTGGGGAAACACAAACATTCAATCCATATCAGTATCTTCCAATTTGTCTTTTCTAATTCAAGTTGTGGCTTTCCTGATGCTTGGTATGATGAGTGATTTTCAATTGTACTCTGGACATTTGGGGTATTAAATTATAAGATTCCATATCTTACCTAATCTTCCTTCTCAGTAGGTAGTCATCCTGTTTAGATTTAGTATGGTGGTTCTGGTTTACTTGTGTGGGCTGTGACTCCAATGACAATTAGTTTTCAGAGCATTTATAGTGCTATTCCGATTTGCTTCCTTTGTGTGCTATCCAAAGACTAATCTAAAAAACTGGATAGTATTCCATAATATAGTTCAGTTCCCAAACTTTTTGCTTTGTTAATTCTGGACAATTTCTTGTGTGAGTCACTAAAGGGTATGTCTAGACTTTCTCCAGTTCTCTTCTCTCTAAAGTCTTACCCCTAATTTTCTAGTTGGGAGGAGAGAGAGTTTCCTCTGCCACCAATGGACTTTGGACATTGGAAGTGGCAGTCTAGGCTCCTCCCTGGGCCTCTACTGACAACATCCTGGTTGGGGAATCGAAGCACCGCCTCATTGCTGCTGGTATGAGGACAGAAGGTCATACTCCTCAGTTACTTCACTGATCCTATCCCAGAGGAGGAAGTAGAATGCTGCTTCACACTAACTCATTGCCACCAGGTTGTAGGTAGAAATACAGACTCCTTATTCACCCCTACTGACACTATCTCATCAGAGAGAAGTGAAAAACCACCTTGGGGATGCCAGGCAGAAGACAGGTATTGAGGTTCCTTGCTTGGTCTCTGCTGCCACTACCCCAGCAGGATAAGCAGCCTGCTATCGCCAGAAGGGGGTGAAAAATCAGGATTCATATCTGGTCTCTGCTGGGGAAACAGAAAGTAGCTATTGGGCAGAGGGTGAAAATTTAAGCTCTCTGCTTAACTCCACTGATACCATCTTGGTGGAGGAAGCAGGACACTATGAGAAGATACAAGTTCAGGCTCTCTGCTTGGCTTTGGGTAACCCTGGCAGAAGAATCAGAGTACAGCCTGCTATTACCACCAAATAGGAGGTAGAAATCCAGACTCTCCCCTCAGTCTACTGATGCTAAGTGTAGGGATGGAGGCATTTCTATTGTCTGTGGCTGGGTAGGACAGGCACTATATTTTAAAAAATGGTTTTTGTCCTGTTAGGATGCCCTCTGCCCAAACCTTTGTCTAGAAAGGGCAGGCTTTCTTAGAGCTTTTAAAAATCTGCACCAGGTGGCATTTCCAGAATGTGGGATTCTCCAGTGCTCAGTCTAGAATATATTGACAGCAAAACAGAAAACCCAAGGAACTCACTGCCTATCATTCCTCAAGTTCCAAGGTCTCTAGCCAGATCTTTGCCTTCTTTCCATGTTTTAACATTTTCCTATATTTGTTTTTAGTATTATGCCCAGAGTTTTTAGTTACCCCTTAGCTGTGAGAATAGGGAGAAATGAGTCTACTATCTCTTGCCAAGAATCAAAAGCTTAAGAAGGCCATATTTTAAAATGGAACAATTTGTAGAATACAGGTGAATAATAGGCAAGATGATAAAACATAAAGCATCAAGCAATTTGTATGGAAATAGAGGGATAAATGGATGAGATTCAACAATAACAATCCAAACCTGTTGGGCAAGACAGAGCTTTTTCCAGAAATTAGGATCTCTGGGAAGGATTGATTCACTTAAATCTACTAAGTTACTGATGGATTCAATGTAATTGATGCCCACCTCTCAAAAAACTCTCACTCAATTAAGAGAATATAGCCCAATATCTGACAGTATTGTCTTTATAAATAGTAAAAACACCATCCTGTACTTACAAGGAAGCTCACAGGCTGGAATTAAAGATTAATAAACAGAAAGTATGATGGCAGCTGTAGCCAGGAGCTTGGGACATGTAAGAAACTCCCTAACCAATTTTAAGTCAACTTATCTGCCAGTCGCAGCGTCAGCTCTGATAGCACACTGGCAATGAACTGAGTCAGTACAGATAGGCTGTAAATGAAAGCAAGAAGTAACTCGGCACCTCAGTGAAGCAGTAACAGACTAAGAGCCACAGAAATAAGGAGAGAGTGTGACAGCCATACCTCAGAAGTGGGCAGCTGACTCAAATCAGCTAGTATTGGGATCTTGCATTTCAGTGCTGGTATTGGGATACCTTTGCAAAGGAAGAAGATTTATTTTTAAGTCAGGGTCTCACTCTGTGGCCCAGGTTAGAGCCTCGATCTCCTGGGCTCAGGCTATCCTTCCACTTCAGCCTCCAGAGTAACTAGGATTACAGGCGCACATCATAATGCCTGGCAGATTTTCTTTTCTTTTTTTTTTTTTTTTTTTTAAGAGACGAGATCTTGCTATATTGCCTAGGCTGGTCTCGAACTCCTGGGCTCAAGCAATTCTCCCACCTCAGCCTCCCAAAGTGCTTGGATTACAGGAATGAGCCATCACCCCCAGCCAGGAGAGGATTATTTTTAATTGCAAAAACCAGCAACTGAAAACTTTTAAATAATCTCTTGCTTTTACATTTTGCAAATGCTTTCATAAATATTCATACTTTTTTTTCCTTTTTTTTTTTTGAAAACAGGATTTATTGAGAGGACAGAAAAGCTCCCACAGTGGGAGGGGACCTGAAGGGGTTGCCCCCATACTTTTCTACAGTAATTGAAATACTTGGGGAGGGGGAGAATGGGGAAGAGAATTCTATTACTTGAGAAAAGAAGATCTAATCATACTCCCAAGGAGAACAAAGTGAAGATAAAGAGGCAAAGTAGGTCTTCTATCCACAGAGATGACACAGAACAGGACTGTCATGTTCCCATCACTCCACATGGAGCCCAGAGTGAGGGAGTAAGAAGGAAGGAGGCAAAGCTGTTTGAACACTAATCCCTGCCCGGGTCACCCAGGCACCCATGACCCCTCTCCTGGCCTCTCCTTCACCAGGTAGGAGATTTGCTTGTCCTCAGCCTCCTCGGATAATACACCCATGGTAGAATGTATTGCATGCACAGTTCTTCACCCACTGCTGCTGCAGCTATCTTGCCATCTGCCTTCCCATACCATATACACTCTCCATGTGGGCGACGAGACTTTGGTAAAATGAGTAAAGATATGGAGCCTTGGCCTGCATTTAAATAGGTCAATACCAGCCCCCCTACCGTCAAAAGTTTAATTTTCTCAGAAATACTTAGTTCTAAAGGGTCTGAAAAACCTGAGGCTTCTCCCACTAATATACAAGCTCTCAAGAACCTTAATGCTGTCCCTCTAAAATACTGCCTGGATATGGGAGAAAGAATGAGAGGTAGACAAAGCCTGTGGGGACTGTGAGGAGGGGAAGAGAGAAGGAAAACTTAGAGAGGGCTCCAGGGCAGCCATCAGAAGATGCTCTTTCAAGACTGGCAGGACTCCACTGGAAATATAAAGACATGATTCGTGACATTCTCTGACTATTACATGAGTTCATGATCCATCTAAGAGTAAAGTTTCTTCCTAGCATTGATCTGCATCTATGAGCCCTCCCAGACATTAGGGGCATAGCCAAGGGGCTGTGATTCTACCCCTTTCTCCTTGTCATCCCCTCTGCTTGAAGAGAAATTTAGAGCTGAAGGAAACCTCAGTCATCCTCTTGTCCCAGCCCCATGTTTTATATTTAAGGAACCTGGCCAGGCATGGTGGTTCATGCCTATAATCCTACTTTGGGAAGCTGAGACAGGAGGATCACTTGGGGCCAGGAGTTAGAGGTTACAGTGTGCTATGACTGTGCCATTGCACTCCAGCCTAGGTGACAGAGAAGACATGTTCAAAGGACAGGACAAGAAAGAACTCAGGCTTCTTCCTGGTCCAGCTCCTTGTTCTTTTGGAACAAGTTTGTGTCTAATCTAAGCGTACGTGAGGAGGAGACTGGTTGTAATGTCTGCACACTCCACTCATGTCTATGATAATGAAGAGTATGACCACCTCTGCTGTGTGCCTCAATTTCTCCAGCATGGAGAGTTGTCTGTAGAATTGGGATGAAAAGTTGAATTCTAACCTAAACTATGACAGAAATGTTCCCAGCTGTTTTTAAAAAACAGTCTATAAAAGGCTTCTTTTTTGTTTGTATGTTTTTTGAGTTGGAGTCTCAATCTATCACACAGCCACCACAGCCTCGACCTGCTGAGCTCAGGAAATCCTTCCACCTCAGCCTTCCAAGTAGTTGGAACTACAGGCATGGGCCACCATGCCCCACTAATTTTTTGACTTATTATAACGATGAGGTCTCGTCATGTTGCCCAGGGTGGTCTCAAACCCATGGGCTTAGGCAATCTTCTTGCCTCTGCCTCTCCAAGTGCTGGAGTTACAGGTGTAAGCCACCGCACCTGGTTAAAAAGGCTTCTTATATGTCATTAATGGCTCTTTAAATTATTTCACAATATTATTATTATTCCATGTTTGTTGAAAAAGCATCCAGAAAAAGTGATTCCCTTCTCTACAAAAACACCAAGGCCATGCTGTAGGCTTATACTAACTAGACAAACCATCACACACCTTGTCTTCCTTTGAACTCTCCATCTTGGCTCCCTCTTTGAATTTTGCCAGTGCACTCTTGAGGTCCTGAGATGTGTAAGTGTTGGTATTGACATCCAGCCTGTCCAAAGAAAATCTGAGAGTGAGAAAGGAGGCATCATATTCCCCAGGAAAGAAAATGCTCCTGAGCGACTGGTACCCCGGGGTAAGCTAGGCCGGCCAACTCCAACTCTGAGTGTATTATCATACTTTTGTCTTCAGTCAGCCAGAGGTCTAACACAGTAACCTTACCTTGAAACTAGAGAAGAAAAAACATAGCTGAAGATGAGGTCATTTCATGAAAGAGGAAGGAATGGCATGAGGTAGACAGAAGCCAATCATGGGCAGAGGGCTCTCAGCTGGCTGCTCAGGTTGAAAGACACCTAGGATGTCTGTACAATGCTGCTCTCTCAGCATGTGGCAAGGCAGGATCTCCTGGAGGGCAGTGGACACAGACACAGGGAGTAACATGCACCTCTCCTAGGAAAGTAGTCAACAAGGACCTGAGTCCCACAGCATGTGCCTGACCTGACTGGCAAGACAGTTGTCTTCACAAAACAGGCTAGATAGCACACATGCCTCAAAGGAGAGGCAGGAGGTATGTCTCAAGTTGACCAAGGAATTGGTTTAAGAAGTAGAATCAAGGTCAGTCACCTCCCAGAGCCAGCCTCCAAGAGGAGGAAGGACAGGAACCAATGTGGTTGTGATCTCAGGAACCAAGACTAGAATAGTATTCTCACAAAGGCCCCTGTAGTTGATCCAAGCCTCAGCCATATATCTTGACTAGAGAGAAGGCATCCATCAGGGGACAAAGTTTCACCACTAGTACTTATTTCAGTTCAGTAAACAGAGGTAAGAATGAGGATGATGTGGACAAAGGGAAATGTGGAGTGTAGATTGTGCTTAACAAGACTGTCCAGTTGTGGTTGGCTTAAAGAGACCTAGGAGATTTCAGAGGTGGGGAGGAAGGGGCTACTGGCCTGCTCTACTCCAGGCAGGATAAGCACATCAGTCCCATAGTCTGAGATTCCGGCAGGCCTCAGCTCTCATGTATTAAGGGCTCTGCTCATTCAGACTTTCATTCATCCTAGAGTCTCTTTAAGGCCCTGAGAAAAACACTTGTCTTCTCTAAACCTCAGCCCTCCTAAACTAATTAATAATAGCTTGTAACGCCCATTTATTGAGCACTTAACCATGTGTCAGTGTGTTAATCCCTTAAAAGTAATATTTCGTTCAAATCATTTCTATAATCCAACAAAGTAGGAGAGAGAATCCTGAATCTCTCTCCCCCCAGAGCTTCATCCACTGCTAACTGCATAAGGATGCCATGCCCACCCCCTCACAAGAAGTAGCTATGTTCACCCATAACACAGCTTGAATAGATTATCTCCTCCCTCCTCTATGACTTGGTCAGGACTAACTCCATCGTGCCTGATACTTCTGTGTACTGCCTTAAGCCCCACCTCCAAGGTCATCCATCATCTCTCAGTCCCAACTATTTACACCCAACCCCACACATATGTGCATAGGTACACACACACACACACACACACACACACACACACAAACCATCATCAGCTGGTGTTCTCATTTCATTCTTCGCTGAGAAAAATAGATGTTATTATCAAAAACATCCTCATCTTCCCATCATAAGCTCTGTAAGCCAACCTACACACAAATCTATGTTTTCTATTTTTTCCTTCTATTATAATGGATGATAGCACCCCTACTCCTATTAAACTTACCTTCCAGATCCCACTTGCCTTTATAAAAGCATTAACTCCCAAAATTATATCACTCCCTCTTGTCTGCATCATCGATTTTCCCCTTCAACTGTAGTATTCCCGTCTCTGACCCCACAATTCCTTCCAGTTATCACGCCATTTCCCTGCTCTCAGAGTAAAATTTTGTGAACATTGTCATCATCCCTACCTTCTTGACTCCTTTTTTTTTTTTCTTAAGTCAGAGTCTCACTCTGACACCCAGGCTGGAGTGCAGTGGCACGCTCATGGCCACCACAGCCTCAACCTACTGGGTTCAGGCAATCCTTTTGCCTCTGCCTCCCAAAGTGCTGGGATTACAGGTGTGAGCCATCATGCCAGGCCTTGACTCCTTTACACAGCCATTTGCTCTAATCTGGATTCTGTCTTCACAACTCCACTCATACTGTTCATCAAAATTACCAGTAGCTGATGAACTGAATCCAATAAACACATCACTAGGTTCATGTTCCTCAACTACTCAGCAGTGCTGACACTGCTCACCCTCCCTTCATTAAATACTCTTCTTTCCTGGCTTCTTGTTATCACACTCTACTGGTTCTTCCACTGCCCTACTATTTCTCCAAACTTTCCTGGTTCCTGTCTCCTATCTGAACCATATATCCTGGAATGCCTTCAAGTTCAGTCCTGAATAATCTTCTCTTCTCCATCTCCACACCCTCCCCCAGTTATTTTTAATATGCTGCCACTGATACCCAAATTTACACCTTAAGCCCAAACCTCTCCCCTGAGCACCAACCAGTCTCTGAGACAACTATCTAACTGACATATTTTCCATCTCAGATGTTTAACAAGTACCTCATACTTATTTATTCTAAAACGTAGCTCTTGATTCTTCTCCCTATAAATCTGCCCCCTCCCAACTTTTCTAGTTCTATAAATAGTATCTCTAAGCACCCAGATGCTCAATCCTCAAAATGAGGCTTTATCACAGACCCTCCACCTTTCTTTAACCCCTGCACCTAAATTATAAGCAAGTCCTGTTGGCTCCGTTTCCAAATGAAATCTCCAAATTCATTCATTCTCCATTTGGATACCCTTAACTAAGTCACCATTATGTCCTGCCTGATCTACTGCAATGACATCCTAATTGTTTCTGTGCTTCTGTCCACCTTCAATCTCTTCTCCAAACACATAGCAGCTAGAGTTACCTTGCTGAACTATGCTATATTAAATCCCTCTCCCCCAGTGCCTTTTCATTACAATCAGAGGTGAATGAAGAACACTCAACATGTTCCTCTAAACTCGGCAGGATGTGGCCCCTGCACACCTCTCCAATCTCATCTGCTATCATTCTCCTTCTTTCACCTCTTCTCTAGTCACCCTGATCACTCAAATTTGACAAACCCTTTCCTTGACAAAACTAGGGACTTCTTGTTGTTTCATCTCTCTGAAATGGTCTAACTCCTAAAGCTATAAACCTAACTCTCTGCAAGACTAAATTGTCCTCATTCTTCAGGCCTCAGGTCCAATATCTCAATGAGGCCTTCCCAAACCCTCCTACCTAAAGTGGCCTCACCCAGAGACTCATCCCTTGGTTTATTTTTTCCCTATCATTTATTACAATCTATCATTATCTCACTTGTGTTTACTTACCTGGTTTTCTGTCTGTCCACCTCCACAAGGCTGGCATCTTGCCTGTTTTGTTTACCACTGTATCCCCAATGCCTGGCTCATAGGCATGCAATAGGTCTTTTATGAAATAATTGAATGGCATAAGTAAATAGCACTGGCCCTGGCCCAGCCTCTTAGCCACTATATCATATCGGACCTTGGTAAATGCTCAACCCAAGATAGTACAACTTGAATGTAGTTTATCCGCCAGTCCTCCAAACATAGGAGGAAGATTCAAAGAAGCTGGTTATTCCAGGGCAAAAAAAAAGAGATGTACTACAGAGATATTAGCAGGGATATAGACTAAAATTAGTGGAGAAAGCAATGCCTAATGCATAAATACCATGAGGAAAACCGGTTGCTAGAGCCAAATATCCACTGAAGCCAAGCAGTGTCAAGACAACCCTCTGAGACAAGCCAGAGTCAGGGTCTCTGTCCCAGGCTTTACAGTTCCACAGACATTGGAGCTCTAGGTAGCAGTGCAGCCTGCAACACATATAGCAGGACTAGTGGAGAGGCTACCACAACTTAGGCTTAGTGGACTATCGCTATCTCCGATAGGCCAATGGCTTCTAACTGTAGGACCACTAACTTCTTGTCCTCTAAAACAGAATAAGCAGGTAAGAAAAACATTGTAACAATTTCAAGGAATTCACCATGCCCATAAGCTTCTGTTCCTACTCTAGTACCAAGGAGCCAGAAGGATGTGAACCAGAATTGGAAGAGCTCAATCCCAGGAGGAGGAAGTCACCACCAAAGACTCACTGAGCTCACCAAACCACCTTGTCAATGCTTTTGGGCCTCTGTTTAGATAGTATGTCACTAGTTGTCAGTGCTGAGAAGGAAAAGAAAATATCCAGTACAACCTGAAGGCCATTCTAGGGCACAGCCTCAGAAACACTCCAAAAGAGAAAAGTAAAAACGCAGGAATGGGGACAAAAATTTCTCCCTTATGATACGTCTCCACAGACTACATGGAGGGTTCTGTTTTCTATTCTGAAAAGATATGAGCAATAAACAAAACAGTAAGTACTCCTGTTAATGATCTACAGTATGGTAGCAGAAAAGTGACTTCCCATGGCATAAAAATTAACAAATAAAGAAACTTCAAATGACTCAAGTTCCTGACTCTATATTTTTAAACCAAGAAAAAACCAGACTTTTCTTCAGAATATAAGACTTGGATTTGATGTGAGAAAAGACTCCTGAAAGTACTTTGAGCACTGAAATGTGTGTGTGTGTGTGTGTGTGTGTGTGTGTATACACTCCTGAAAGTACTTTGAGCACTGAAATATATGTGTGTGTGTGGTGTGTGCATGTGCGCTAGGAAGGAAGAGGGTTGGCAAGGGCCACAGCAATGATATCTGATTATTTCTTAGGTGGCTATGAGAAAGGGGTAATCACATGATCTGGGCCACTCCAGGTATAGGCCTATTTGGAGAGATGGGGGAAGATGAAAGATCCTTCCCAGTTTGGGGTGAATGTAAGGATGAAAAACACTTCTATTTCAATATAATGTATAATTTTCTAATAGGAAAAACTGCCCAAATCTAAATAGGCTGCTTTGTGGGGTTGTGAGTACCACCTGATAAAGGTGCACATGGACTGGCTGAAAGGTAAAAGTTGGAGTCTCTAAGGTCTCTTTCTGACTCATATCTAACTACAAAATATTGTTAAAATATAATAAAAACCCAAAGACTGAGTAACACTAACCCCACTCAATCCATGACTAATTCCCAATACTTGCATGTTTTAAAACAGGGTCAGCAAACTATCTACAATAATCAGATAATATTTTAGGATGGTGTCTGTCCCGACTAATCAATTCTGTCACTATAACAAGAAAGCAGCCATAAACAATATGTAAACAAATAAGCATGGCTATGTTCCAATAAAACTTTATTTACAGACACTGAAATCTAAATTTCACACACATTTTCATGAGTCATTAAATATTATTTCTCTTTTGATTTTTTCCCAACCATTAAAAAATGTAAAAACTAGCCAGGCTTGGTGGCTCAGCCTGTAGTTCCGCGCCTTTGGGAGGCTGAGGTGAGTGGATTGCCTGAGCCCGCGGGTTCAAGACCCGCCTGGGCAGCGAGACCTCATCTCTACAATCAGTCAAAAAATCAGCCAGGTGTGGGTAGTGCATGCCTGTAATTCCGGCTACTTGGAAGGCTGAGGCAGAAGGATCACTGGAGCCCAGCAGGTCAAGGCTGTGGTGGCCGGGAGCGGCCACTGCACTCCAGTCTGGGTGACAGAGTGAGACTCCAACTCAAAAAAAAAAAAAAAAAAGTAAAAACCAATTTAGCTTGCAGGCCATACCAAAATGGGCAGCAGTCCCAAAATGGCCCACAGGCCAAAATAAACTGATAGAAACTTCTTGGCTGGTATTAATACTGAGTTTTCAAGTCACACAATTCCAGCAACCTCTACAACTCTGTGCCTCAACTGCCTTTCCCCACATTTGGAAATTATCAAACAAAGAAAACTTGTTAATCCAAGGCCACAAAAAGAAAAATAGAGAGTGTGAATTCTCTAAAATCAAATATCTAAACTGGTTACTAAAAAATAAGACAACCCCATATGACCCTGCAATCCCCCTACTGGGAATATACCCTGAAGAACACAAATCACTCTATAAAAAAGATACCTGCACACGTATGTTTATCGCAGCATTGTTCACAATAGCAAAAACCTGGAAACAACCATGCTGCCCATCAAAAGAGGACTGGATTAAAAAAATGTGGTACATATACACAATGGAATACTACGCAGCCATAAAAAAGAACAAAATCATGAATTTCGTTGCAACCTGAATGGAACTAGAGTCAATAATACTGAGTGACCTCTCACAGAAACAAAGATCCAAATATCACATGTTCTCACTCATATAATGGACCTTGAACATCCAATGCAATACTATAAGAAAATGACTGACGGTACTGGGAAACTATGGGGGGGAGGGGGATGGGATTAACAGTAGCAAATATCTGTCGGGGGATGGGAAAACACCTCTTATCAACAAGGTGCCTGAATGAAACGTAATTGTATACCTAACCCTTAACTGTACCCCACAAAACCATAATAAAAAATACTGATTAATGAAAAAAAATAAAAATAAAAATAAAAACCCCTGATCAAGCAGAAAAAATAAAAAAATAAAAATAAAAAATAAGACAACCTCTGGCCAGGCGTGGTGGCTCACAGCTGTAATCTCATGTGGGAAGCCGAGGTGGGAGAATTGCTTGAGCAATTAGAGCAGTTAGAGACCACCCTGGGCAACACAGTAAAACTTTATCTCTATAAAAAATAAAAAATATTAGCAGAGTATGGTGGCACGTGCACGCAGTCCCAGTTACCTGGGAGACTTGAGGTGGGAAGCTCTCTTGAGCTCAGGAGTTGGAGACTGCAGTGAGCAGTGATTGTGCCACTGCACTCTAGCCTGGGCTACAGAGTGAGATCCTGACTCCAAAAATAATAAAAATAAGGCAACCTCTCACCATCAGAGAACCGCAGTAGCTTGTCCTTTTATACTATAAGAAAGCCTGTTTTAATACTGACTAACAAGAGGAAAAATTAGTCTGAATTAAAGACTTTAAAATGCAATTTTATTGTTCACCAAGGAAGTATTACTGCAAAGCAGAAGCCTAACAGGACTGTTTTAATGAATAGATGACTCATCTGTAATCAGCGCATTAATTGTTGGGATTCAAATGGGTGCTCTTAAAGTACTGGGAAAAACAGTTTCATGTTTAAAGCAGGTTAAGCATTCCCCCTACAGCCTTTTTTAAAGTATCAATTTGCTTTGCAAACTGTTTCTTTCCAAAGACTGTAGAAGTAAACTTCCATAAAATCCTGACAGATTTATCACAAATTCTATGCTATTAAATTTCAAATTTTTAAAAAAGCCATAAGAATTTGTGTAAAACTTCAGTATTACAAAATCAATGTCATCACTTAGCCACCCAGTCCCTAAGGCTGACACTGTACCTTTTGCCTTTTTTCAGCCCTTTCAAATTATTCTGGAACTTGTCTTCATAATGGAGTTTCGCCTCTCTTGCCCCAGTCTGAAGATTGAGCCGCACGTGAGATCCTGCAGGGACAGCCTGACCTAAAAGGCAAGAAGAGAAATAGTTCATGAGATATAGAATCCTTGGAGGGACGCTAGGATGGAATGGCTAACTAACAAGCCAACAGGACTTACCAGTTCATATAGACCAGAATCTGCTGGGTTCGGTTACCCCCTGAGTCCAGCCATCTCTCTCTCCCTTAAACACACACACACACACACACACACACACACACACACACACACACACACACACACGCCCTCACATACACTCCTTTTGTTAATCTATAAGGAAATCTGTAAGGGAACGAGGCAAGGGGGGCAAGAGGCTACAAACTTGAATCTGGAGACCAATGTCCCCCAGTTAGAACTTGTGTATTGAATCTAGTCTATGTCTTAAATTGAGCTAATGAGGTTTTTTGTTCTGGGAAGTAGGTGAATGGTAGACACCACTTCACTCCTCAGAGCATGGCTACCTTACTTCCTCCTCCATGAGGTCCTGCCTGCCCCTCCTCAACAGTCCTACAGATCCCAGACAGCCTGCCATTCCAGCAGCTTCCACCTCACCACCTCTATGAGGGTGATCAGGCACCTTCCATGAGGCTCTCTCCTCTCTGAATACAGGGAATGTATCTCCTCCTTTTCCATTTCCCCAGCCCTTAGCCCAGAGCTTGGCACATAAGATTTGTGGCACTTAACATTATGAGAAGGAAGAAGGAAGAGACTGGAAGGCAAGGGAACAGAGTAAGCCAAGGGAGTGGAGCCAAGAGAAACTGGAAACCTACACCACCTACCTCAGAGGAGCTGATCCATAGCTGGGAAAACAAGTGTTACAAATGGATGGGTATTCATACACATTGCACGAAACTACTTAAGGATGGTTAAAAAGCAACTGTGCAGGATCTCATACTACAAATAAAACGTGACACTCGTTCATTCAAGAAACTGCAGCGGGGATAAAGAATTTCATGGAAAGGGCTTTTCAGAAGCAAAGATAGTGCTTCTGATACCTGGACATTGACTCTGCTTTCTCCTGCCAGAGGATGGCATTGCCTTGCTGGTGCTAAGTTTGATTTAAGAACCAAAAATAGTGACTTTCTGAAAAAAATTCTAGGAAAACACATAGCACAAGTTCTCTCAGAATGATCAGGTAAACCATGAATATAAAAGGGTAATGATATAGGCAAGAACACAACAGCTTTCTTAGTTCTAGCAAGACAATACACTACCAGCCACTCTATCTCCAACCAGGGCATGAGAGATACAACACACCAAGACATGCTGCTTCTGTTTCTATGTCCTGTTTCAGTGGGAGTTTCTATATTTTTGCTTTAAAAGATGGGAACCTACAGTAGATAGATGTACAAGCATAATGATCTTCCTCTAACCACAAAATGCATCAAGGATTTTTTTTAAAAGGTTCAAAACCTTTTTCTGGAGAGGCTTTCTGGTAAGGTTAGGTTGGGGGTCAAATGAGGCAAAAAGTGAGACCCAGCCTAGGAAAAAAGGGAATACCAAGTGGAGGGACCCCACATGCAAAGGTGCCAACACAGAAGCTGATAGCCCACGGGATCACAGAGAGACCGAATAGGCAAAACTGGAAGGGCTGGAGCTGCTGGCTTTGTGTACCACCAGGAAGCCTGGGTTGACCTTCCTAGGAGAGGAAACAAAATGAATGGTCGAGAATGATGGTTCTGGGAGGATGGAAGGCCAAATGCTGGAATACTGGCAAGAATAACAAAGAGCCAGGCTTGGTGGCTCAGCCTGTAATCCTGCACTTTGGGAGGCCGAGGTGGGTGAATTGCCTGAGACCTCATCTCTACAATAAACCAAAAAAATTAGCCGGGTGTGGTAGCACGTACCTGTAGTTCCAGCTACTTGGAAGGCTGAGGCGGAAAGATCACCAGAGCCCAGCAGGTCAAGGCTGCGGTGGCCGGAAGCGTGCCACTGCACTCTAGTCTGGGCGACAGAGTGAGACTCCAACTCAAAAATAATAATAATAATAACAAAGCACTACAACTTCTTTCCTATTCCTATGGTCACCGGGCAAGAGGTGACTTCTTTACCACTAATCTCAGTTCTGAATGTGTCAAGTTTGCCTCATCTAGAGAGATCTCAAACTGACAAAACAGCATAGGCTCCTTCTGGCTGACTGCTAAACAGACCAGTCTTGATATTAAAACCGGCCAATTTCTCCTGCTCCATGTCTCTTGGACACAGACCCTTCTTTCCATGTCGCCACCACAACTTTCATCCTAACATCACCATCTCTTGTCTAGATGCTACCACAGCCCTCTAAGTGGCCTCTCCTATCTACTCTTACTCCCAATTCTACTGATCCTTATAGTGAACGTTTTTTTTCCAAAATACAAATCTATGTAATTCTCCAGCTTCAAACCTTTTCATGGCTTCCTCACCCTGGTCAGTAAAGCCCTGTAGTGTCTGCCCCTGCCCGTCTCTTCAGCCTTGTGCACCCCCTCCTTCCCTGCACTCTAGATACATTAACCTCTTCCCATTTCACGAAAGAACCATGATCCTACTAGGGAGCCATTTCTCCTGCTGTTCCTTCACCCAGAATGCTCCTCCCAACCCCAACCTTCATCTCTTCATCCTTCCAATCCCAGCTAAGGGTAACTTCTGAAAGGCATTCCCTGTTTCTTCAAACTAGATCTGTCTGCCCCCTTTCATAGAACCATGAACTCTTTCTTTATAGCACTTACCACAACCAGTAGTTATATTTTAGTTTTCTAATTTAGCTGGTTAATGTAAATGCTCACCATTTTATTCCAAGGGCCTATTACATGGCCTAACATATAGTGAACTCACGGTAATTATCTGCTGAGTGAAAAAAAATTTTTTTTTAGTGAAAATTTTTAAAAGAAAGAGGAGATCCTAGTTGATCTAGAGGTATGTGGAAAGGTCAACAAGGATTTTCACTAGGGCAGATTGATTCATAATAATAATTAGTCAAGTTAATAGTTATTTTTGGCCAGGCTTGGTGGCTCGGCCTGGAATTCCAGCACTTTAGGAGGCCAAGGCAAGGATTGCTTGAGCCTGCGGGTTCAAGACCAGCTGGGGCAACTTGGTGAAATCTTGTCTCTACAATAAAATAAAATAAAATTAGCTGGGTATGGTAGTGCACATCTGTAGTTTCAGCTACTTGGAAGGCTGAAGTGAAAGGATCGCAGGAGTCTAGCAGGTTGACTCTGGGGTGGCCATGAGCGTGTCACTACACTCCAGTCTAGGCAATGGAGTGAGACTCTGACTCAGAAAAAAAAAGTTATTTTTAGTAATAATGATACTAATACTAGTAACAATAATAATAGTGCCTTAATTTTCAGACTGCACAATTCCAGTAACCTCTGCAACCCTATTCCACAACCACCTTCCTCCTCATTCAGGAAATATCAAGCAAAAAAAACTTGTTAATTCAAGGCAACAAACAGAAAAATCAAGAGCATGAGTTCACTAAAATCAAATAGTCTAAACTGCTTATTAAAAAATAAGGCAACCTCTGGCAGTTCATGGTGGCTCATGCCTAATCCCAGCACTTTGGGAGGCTGAGGCGGGAGGATTGCTTACAGCCAGGAGTTTGAGACCAGCCTGGGCAACAACATAGTGAGACCTGATGTATGTATGTATTTTGAGTTGGAGTCTCAGTCTGTTACCCAGACTGGAGAACAGTGGCACACTCCCAGCCACCGCAGCATCAACCTGCTGGGCCCAGGCAATCCTTCCGACTCAGTCTTCCAAGTAGCTGGAACTATAGGCACACACTGCCATGTCCGACTGATTTTTTATTTATTGTAGAGATGAGGTCTCACCAAGTTGCCTAGACTGGTCTCGAATTCATGGGCTCAGGCAATCCTCTCACCTTGGCCTCCCAAAGTGCTGGGATTATAGGCATGAGCCACCGCGCCTGGCCTCTCATCTCTGTATTTTAAAAAAAGGTTTTTTTTCAGACTTTTGCTCAAAGTTAGAATGAAAAAAGGAAAAATCACATGAGTTTATAAGATTCAGATATTAACAGGTTATACTGTTATACTGTGCCAAGTTAGCCAACTAAGAGACTAGGATCTTTTGTGTATCAATTTATTTTATTTGGAGAAAATTCCAAAATTACTCCTTTCACATAAGCCACCACAGGGGGCAAGAGCAACCACAATAGCATTAATTCAAAATACCCATTACGCTCATCTAAAATATATGAAACCAGTCATGGTGGCAGCAGTGGCAGAAGCAACAGAAAATACAGTATTTCAAATGTTTCTAGCCCACTGGGGGAAAATTAGACAGAGTGTGATCTGGCCTGCATCCTTGTAGGGCCCTGCAAAGATACAAGACATACCAGAAAATGGGGAAAAGCAAATGAGAGCAAACATAAGTCACAAGATACATATAGGTAAAGAGTTAGGTTTGGAGGTAGAGGGCAAGGGGACAGATGGAAAATAATATCAGGATCTAGAAAGGAAAACAGGCCTACAACAATGGCTGTTTTTCTACCACTGGCTCCTTGGGAGCAGGTCCCAAGACCATGTATCTCAGACTGAGGAAACCTGGCCACATTAAGTAAGGCTATCTCATGCTTGAGTTTTGACTCCCATTGGGACTGTCACTGACTTCAATCACAGGGCCAGGACCCAGGGAACAACAGTTTTTTTCCAAAGGAGTAAAATCTATGGTAGACTGTACCATTGTTACCAATTTTCTCTCTCCCCTCCTGTCAAGCCCTTTATCACATGACTTTTCCTGCACCTTGATATTAGACTTAGTTGTGACTTGCTTTGTCCAGTGGGATGCTAGCAAATATGCCACAAATAGATATCTGAAGTGTGCTTGGTATTCTGCCATCATCAATGAGAAGAACATGCCACTACTAGCCTTCTGTCCAAGAAGAACGAGAGATCCATGGAGCAGAACCAAATCAGAGATTCATGTGCACATGGTTTATTGAGGGATACTCTCCAGGTGACAAGGAAAGGAAGCGGTAGGAGCTTTGCACCCCAGCCATCCACTCCCCTACTCCCCACGCCTGCCAACAG